CAATTACATTTTATTACATTTTATTGACATTCAAAAGTTATAATTATTTATCATTGTTATTAATTATCTATTAATTGGACATACTGCCACAATTTTGTTTATTTTGTATAATGTTTTTTTGTCATGTAAGAGTCTGTAGTCTTAAAAATTGTTACTGAATGTCATGTTAGCTGTCATGTTAGAGTATCCAATAAGTAGTATAACTTACACTAAGTATCATACTGTAGATTAATTTGACTTGTCATAAGTGTCTGTGATGGACCTACATGAATAAAGCTATATTTGATTGATTGATTGATAACAAACTATAATAAATTTTGTTAGGTACATTTGTAACGTCTGGAAATAAAAAAGGTCATGTATGACATTTTTAACTGCTTTTTTATTACACTTACTGTTTAAAAAAACCTGTTCACACGTCCGGGTTCTGGACTCTAAAATCTGGGGTTTTCACGCGTCTTGTAGAGATGGCAACCCTAGTCCCAAATCGCTGTTTTCCATTTTGAATTTCTGTAATATAAGGGGTTGACGTTGATTATTAGTTGTGAAAGATCGTAACTTCATTTATAATACATACAAATTACATTAAACAGGCTGTTAAAGGTATGTATGCCGTATTTAAATAACCATATGGTTTACAATTATTAATTTTATTTATTTAAGGAGCGTGTTCCTATTATTTACAAACGTTCCGGTAAACATTTACCATCAGTTGGGCCGTATGCTTGTTTCTACCTATGTAGTATATATAAAAAATGCTGCTGTATTTTAGTTTTTTTAATAAACATTTAGTTCGTAAACCCGTTCTTCAAATATATAAAAAAATCGCATAAAAACATAGATACATTTTATTTTTATTATTAACAACGTAGACAACTTGTTGTTTATGAAATAAAAATATCTCAGGACAATTCACTCATTGACATTGAGTCTCAGGTACCAGACAACTGATATAAATAGATATATATTTTTTAATACGTACATGATATACATTGAAAACACCCAGACCAATACAAGCAATCATACTTCTGAAAACAATAATAGAAATGTTCGTTTTGCCAAATGGAAGAGGAAACACCGCTATGAAAATAATGAAGAAAGGGCTAGTACAAAATATATCTGTACTTGCTACAGGTCTAAGAATAGAGTAATGGCCTTAATAAAAATAAATGATGTATATGTGTGGATATACATATTATATCAATTAAGATTTCACCTGTACAAATTAAATTTTCGAATAATAAGTAAGTTTTATTTCTTAAATATTCAGTTTGCGAAGTAACTTTATTACGATTCTTCTAAAAGTACTTGGCCATCTAAAACTGTAGGAAATCCTATATTAGAACATGTATCTTAAGCACCACTAGTAAAGTTCTACTAGAATTGACTGGACAAGGAGAGGAACACCAGCGGTTAAAGGTTAGAGAGTGTTAAAGTACCTACAAAGAGGTCCCCTAAAGCTACACCCGGGTCAAATCTCTGAAGTGCCCGGAGTGTCCCTCTCTGCCACACGATGGACCCGGCACCCGCACGGCAAATCCATGGAATGCTAAGAAGTTCAGCTCATTACATAAAGATTTCACCAGTCCAAATTCACTTTTTCAATAATATGTGAGTTAGATTTCTTAAATATTCAGTTTACAAAGTAGGCTTAAATAACTGTATTACAAATCCTCTGTGCAATCTTTCTAAAAGGTCTTGACCTGCCTAGAACTGCAGGAAATTCTATACTACAACGTGTTAGATACAGTACGCAGTTAAGCAGTACTAGCAGGCTCCTACCAGATTTAGCTGGGCAAGGAGAGAAACACCAGCGGCGTAGGTGAGTTTTGACGTATGTTGGCAAAGGGGTCTCTTAAACCTACACCCAGGTCAAATCCTGGAACTGCCCGAAATTTCCCTCTCTGCCACACGATGGACTCGACACCTGCATAGCAAATCCATGGAATGCTAAGAAGTCCAACTCATTACATAAAGATTTCACCAGTACAAATTCACTTTTCCAATAATATGTAAGTTGGATTTCTTAAATATTCAGTTTGCGGAGTTCGTTTAAATAACTGTATTACGAGTTATTTGTATTCAGGGGATGTCGATCAAGTTGCGGAGAGATTCGACTTCAAAATAAATAACGTGAAAGATATATTTGCAATACTCAACAGGTTCGCACGTGTCTTATCTGCGATCTTTGCCAATATCCAGCTTAGAGGTTTAGTTAAATTTTGAACACGTTATAGCGTTCAACATTGCGATCGTTATTGGAATATGTAGATAAAGGATATTTCTGAAATTACTTATGATAAATAGATAGATAAATGTCTGATTTGCATCTTCAGCATGTAAAGATTTAAAAGAGTTAACAAACAACAATGAATAATCAGCTGTACGCCATAATTGTCACCAAATATTGTGTGCTGCTTCACAGCAAATAGGCCGTACCGTATCTGAAACACAAATATCTTTATTTTAACTGAAATGTGGTTCAGGAATATAGTTACAAGTTGCACATATTTCATTTCTGGTTTTTGACTTTGTCATAATACAATACAACTTTATATAAAAATCTTAACTCGTTTTTTTGATCGTGTGAGTAAATGCGTATATTATAGACATTCCCTTCCGATCGATCCGTCCCGTCCAATTCAAACGGGGATCGAAATTACGACGACTGAGCCGAGGTTAGAACGTCTAGCGGTGTTGTCTAACTAAAATCGTATCTATCAGGCGGGAGTTGGCCATCAGCCGCTCCATAAGTCCTTCCTTTGGTTTGGAGTGCCATCTGCATTCGCCCTGCATCGTTCGGTGAAGCTGTAAAGGCTAGCTGCGGCCAATAGCATTAGAGTAGTCCGAAAAAAGGTACCTAGTAATAATACTAATTTACAATTGGTAGCGCGCATGTCATACCGGTAAATATTTTCCTCGTTCCGCAAAATCGACGGCCGTACATGAAGCAATGGAAATAACTTTTTTTACAAGAGGAAAAACCATTATATCAACTCGGCATGACGCTTGTCGATCTAACCTACAAATATTCATTACACAAACCGTATTTCCTCTACTATAGCGTATTAATTTTTCGTCAACGCTTACATGCTACACGTATAATATGAACATAATGCTTCGTCGACCTACAAATGTATAGGAATCAGGAAAAACATTTACAAAAGCGATGTGTTTAAATAGGCCATTACATTCTGCACGTGTGACAAATTACTAGCGTGACAAGAAACACTCGTTGTTAACATGGTAAAAAGTTAACAGCACGGCATCTGATAAGTATTGTCACGAACACTGTGTGATATTAATCTAGATTTATCTATGACAACATATCTATCTAGGCATACATAGCTTTAGCTAGCTTAACTTTGATCTAGATGGTGCTGTGTGAATTGTCTGTGTCAATTATACATAAATAAATAACTCTGGACAATTAACATAGCGCCATCTAGTCCCATGGTAAACAAAGCTTGTGTTATAGGTACTAGACAACTGATATAAATACTTAGATTTTTTTGTAAATACATACATAATATACATAGAATCCACCCAGACCGATACAGCAATCATACTCATGAATACAAATGTTAGCACCATGCGAGGAATCGAACCCGCGATCACCGGAAGTAAAGCGTTGTGCTAAACCGCTTGACCAACCATGGCCGTCACTCATATATGGCGTACGATGTATAATATAACATTTCGTTTTGTTAATATAGTTAAATTGGTTTTAACACGAATATTTTTTTGGTAAATAAAGGTATTTACCACTCTCAGTTGCACTAGCCATGGTCACGAGCTGAGTACAGCGAATGTCAATGTTGATAGATGCCGGCAGTTTGTTCAACTACCTTCATTACATTGTTCAACAAACTCACAGTATTCATACATTTATTGATCAATGCTACCGAAAGTTCGATAGCATCGGTCAATTACTGTAAATCGTAGAAACGTCGTCAGAGGTAAATACCTTTATTTACCATAAAATTATTCGTGTTAATGTAATAATGCCTACCAAACGCGAAAGTTTAAAAATAAGTATTTCGTTTTGTATTGTTTGCATCAATTTCTAAATATGAAGCATTGTTTACGCAAAGCTAGTCCCAAATCATCTTAATCCTCGCACTTTATCGAGTGACCAATGGAAATGCGCGAATAACATGGCGCCCGGCGGACATATTCATTCATATTTCTCCCGCCGCGTTCCAGCGATTACATTTTGAACGGTCGCGTTCTTTTTTCACTGCAATTTAGGCGGCGTTTTCGGTGGACTTTTTGTGGCCAGTTTTAATCGTTGTTGCCATTTTAGAGAGCTCGTCGACGAGGGCGTTTCATTTGTGTTTTCTTTTTGTGGCTCTTTTTGATGTGTTGTATCTAACGCGTGGCAGGAAACGACCCTGTCTTTTATTATTTTGACGACATTTTCTTATATTTCGTGCAATTTATATTCACATTATCGTCATAATAACCTGTTTAGGTCGAGTAGAAGGAGAGTTCATTGAAACACTATCTACTTATTTACGGGATATAACGGCAATTTTATACGTAGAATTATTAACTAAGCTTAAATGTATTAAATATTTTTCAATTTTTGGGATGTAAAACTGACAGTCTCAGTTCTATTTATAGTGCAAAGAGGTTGGTACACTTTAAGAGACGGTTCTCATCTTTTTTTTTTCTCATTTTTTTCTCTTTATTTAGTCGTTATGTAAATATATAAATATAGAAATAAACGTATTTTTACAATAGACATTCAGTGCCGAAAATTTTTACGTAGTTTTAGTGAGCCTAGTGGATTAAAATAAAAATAAAAAGTTTAAACAAAATGCAATTATTGTATATTATTAGAAAACGGTGTATTAACATCAGACCAGGAAGTTTGGACAGAAAATAATTTTGTCCTATTTGGCTCTAATTATAATTATAATAAATAGTATTATAATAAATATTATAATATATAATAAATAATACAAAATTTATATGAAGGTTTATCATTGTTTCAGATCACACTGATCTTCAACATGATGCGATGACCTGAAAGCGATGCTGCTGCAGCAGGCGTCATCGTCGCCTGGTCCCAGCGGCACGGCCAGTCCAAAACTTCCGCCTAGTCCAAGACCCAATCCTAGCCCAAACTTCGGCACTCGTCTCACCGGTAGCCCCAGTTTGAGTGATGGAGCTTCGAGCTCTAATAGTCCCAGATTGGGCGCCAACAGTCCCAAGTTGGGCGCCAGTCCGAAATTTGGGAGTCCACGGCTGGGGACTGGGAGTCCTAGACCGAGTCGGGCGTTTGAAGACGAGGCTGCGTTGGAAAGACTACAAGCCGAGTTAAAAGAAGGCTGGACTGTACACACGGGGAGAGATGGCAGACTGTATTATTGCAAGTAAGTAATTCATATTTTGTTATTAAACTTAGTTTCATAGCAAATTTATTTATACACAATGGCAAATGCTTATAAGGCCTATCTGATTACCGTAGCCTGAACGCCTAAACACTAGTATAGGGAAAACCGTGTTTTTTACTGCTGTGGTCGCGGTCGATTGCGAATACGATCCCGCGTCCTCTGGGCCATGGGGTTTTCAGTGAATGGAGTCTCAGAGTACCGGTCCGTCCAACCCTGAGATGAACGGGTCTCCATGATGAATTTTCCTGATGTGAAAGGAAAGGTGAAAACTTAATATCTCTTTTCAATAACCACATGTTGTAGTTTCAAGAGCCAATCACGGTAGGTAGTTCTTTCCACAATCAGAGAGAGCGCGGAAGAAATATTTAAATGTCTAGATTGAAATTTAGTACAGATTATATCGTAAATTATTATTTGTAATATTTTTTACTCGAATTCATGAGGGCAACATCTCGAGATACATGTAGTAAAAACTACAATACCTATAGTTGAAGTATGTTGTATAGGATATATGGTATACTATAGCCCAATTGTTTTTGATCGACGGTACATGATTGGAGGTAATAGAAGAGACCTATATCCAGCAGTTGCTAGGTGTTATAATACAATAACTAAACCCAATTTTATGCTTTATTTCTATTTGGAATATTTGGTAGAGTAAGGCAACAATAATAGTATATAATAAAAGAAAACCGAACAACAAGAGTTATAGCTTAATGAAGGCGTACTATTTCGACTGACAGAAATGTATGTATAATTACAGCCTAAGGAAATCAAAAGAAAAGATTCAATGTTGTTTCACTATCTTTTTGTTAAATTTAGTCGTAAATATGTTAAACAAACAAATAGACACGCCTTTGCATTTATGCTATTGTTATATATATATTATTATGTTACTAGCTGTCCCGGAATTTTTTTTTTTTTGCCATATAAATTTGGGACATTATAAAAAATAAACAAATATTGTCCAAAAAATTATGTTAGGCGTTAGACAACACTTGGGGTATGAAAAATAAATAGTAGCTAATTCTCAGACCTACTGAATATGCACACAAAATTTCATAAAAATTGTTAAAGCCGTTTCGGAGAACTTGACAAACACACGAGAATTTTAAATATTGGAAGATATTTATTCTCGTTTAAAGTCAGTGAGCTAAACGTTGTTGATAAGCATTGTTTATAAGAAAGTTGTTAGGCAACTGCAGAACTACCAAGTATATTTGCATTCTATTTAAAGTTGAAACTAGATTTCTAATGGCTGCTACCGCGATCGTACTCGAGTTATAAAGTAACTTCATTTAATTGGCAGACGCAATTTATTCCTCAAAGAGAAAATGGCCTTGTTACCCGATAAAACTGGCGCTCAACGAATTACGTTGCACTTCTATATTGCAATTTAAAATTCGAATGTACATAGTTTTTAATCTATAAAATCTTTTTTAGACAAAGGAACGCAGTCATTAAAACATTTGTACGTATAATTAGTAAAAATCACGGGATCTTACCACGTTTTATATTTATTTGCTGAGTTCCCGATATTTCGGCAGTGTTTCAACCACCATGATCACGGGTAAACTGGGCAATTCAGCAAATAAATATAAAACGTGGTAAGATCCCATGATTTTTACTAATTATACATATAAATAATAACCGCGTCAAGTTTAAAACAGTATTAAAACATTTCTTTGTAGAAAAAGTGTATTCTTTTTTCAATTCTCTTTTTTTAAATATAGCCAGTATTATACAAATGGATTTTGTTCTATGAATAAATAAATAATAATTATTAATTCATATTATATTCTCGAAATTCTTCGATATTACAAGTTGGAATTACGGCTCATACTGACTAAGTAATTCTGAAATCTTTAATTAATTGTTTCCTGTATTATTATTATTGTTGCAACTTATTATTATTATTCTTTATATATATATATGTTATGTATATCTCCCTTTTTACGCGGGAGTAATACGTTCAAACACGCGGGCCTTAGCTAAGCGTTGAGGTTGTTGAGTTTAAAAGTTATATGTTGATGATAAAAGTGAGTTGATGAAAGAAATTTCCAAAAAAATATATATATAATATGTATGTATATATATATTACATCTCCCTTTTTACGGCGGTAATATATTCAAACACGCGGGCCTTAGCCAAGCATGGATGAGTTATGTGCTGAAGATAGAAATTTTCTTACTATTCGGCATGTGTTTAGTATGACGGCTTTTTGTAATAGGTCTATTGTAGAGGAGGGGATATGCAACGTGTCTAGGTGTTTGTTCAGACTTTTTGGTATAATTATTATTATCATCGTCTTACTCTCGCAGCTGTTGCTGATTATTTCCACACTTATTATTATTATTATTATTATTTCCACCGTTTCACAATATAAATATCGGTTATTTTATAGTGATCACAAGGACGGGCTTATTATTATTCATTTTTTTCCCAAAAATTCTCATCTCCCCTCTTAAGGAGAGGAGATGGCAACATACCCCCGGCAGAAGCACAGTCGGCCGGGGTTCAGGGCCCCAGGGACAGAAACCGGCGTACAATGCGGGCAGAATCTAACAGCACCGCTTTCTGCATCTTTCCCGGGAGTGAGCCGCCCCGGAATCCCAACCGTCTGAGATGTTGTTCCAGACTGGTTGGGATAAGACCGTTCACCGACATAACGATTGGAATGATTTCGGTGGACATCACCCCCCACATTTCGGTCACCTCGTGAGCCAGGTCGAGGTACTTTCTCTTTTTCTCAGTTTCGGCTTTCACGAGGTTCTCGTCATGCGGTATGGTGATGTCCACCAAAAACACCCTCGAAAGTGCCCGATCCATCACCACGATATCAGGTTTGTTCGCAAGAACGGTCCTGTCCGTGATGATGGATCGGTCCCACTAGAGCTTGACGCTGCCGCTTTCGAGGACCGGCTGGGGCTCGTACTTATAGTACGGCAACCTCTCATTCGCGAGGCCGTACTTCAGAGCTAGTTCTTGATGGAGTATTTTGGCTACCTGGTTGTGTCTGTGCAAGTACTCAGTGTTGGCAAGAGCTGAACAACCCAAAAGCACGTGTCTGAGTGACTCTCCGGGATGGCGACATGCCCGACAGATGTCCTCAGTGCCATCCTTCAGAATGTGCTTTCGGTAATTGTTCGTCTTAACCACCTGATCCTGTATTGCACAGACAAAACCCTCGGTCTCTCCGAAGAGATCACCGAACTGTAGCCACATATTATTATGTGTTTATTCACGGTGTAATGTTAGGCAGCCTATAATATATTTTAGCTGATATCTTTATTCATAACAAGCAAATAATAATATAATAACAATGTAAATATTTTGTGAATATTCATTACAAGGCGAGACAGATTGTTTGAGTGATGCTGTAACCACGTATTTTGGAGGAAACAATTACTCGGGTGTATTACAATTTTAATTAAATTTGTGCAAACTACAGCCAATGAGGTTTGTCTCGTTGTTTTTGTGTAAATGCTCTAGATGTTTGGAATATAAATTGTATGGAGAATCCTATTATTAATTGTAGTAAGATGTTTTCATGTAATAATATCGACTTGAGTCATAGCAAAATTAGTTGTTTTAATATGACGTTATATTAATATGACGACCTCGGTGGTCTAGCGGTCTAGCACACCGCTTTACGTCAGATGGTCGCGGGTTCGATTCCTCGCACGGCACAAACATTTGTATTCATGAGTATGATTGTTTGTATCGGTCTGGGTGTTTTCTATGTATATTATGTATGTATTTACGAAAAGAAATATTATTTATGTACTTGTATCAGTTATCTAGTACCCGTGACACAAGCTTTAGCTAGCTTAACTTGGAACTAGATGGCGCTGTGTGAATTGTCCTGAAATTATTATTATTATTAGCTATAATATGAGCTATATATACTAATATGTTTTTTTTATTGATGATAATGGAATGGTGCACCCGCCTACGCTAACGGTTTACGCTGGCGGGGCACCAGTGCAAGATGATATGATGAGCATGAGGTCAAGTCAGTTAGCCAATCGTGACATATTCACCAAGAATGTATCGCGATGGTTTCCAGGGGGAACCGCGTGGAGGTCAATCTGACATGGTACATTGCTAGCAATAAGATCATCAGTCCACATTACTAACAATCTCCTTTCCCCCACTAATATAATATTATAATGAGGTGAAATTTGTAAATTTGGATGTTTGGGGTAATCTCTGGTACTACTTAAGAGATTTTCAAAATTCTTTTAGTATTGGATAGCCTAGAGGTCTATAGGCTATATAACATCACGCTACGACCAATAAAAGCGGACCTGCTATAACGGTTGAAACGGGGCAAATGTAATGCAAACAAAGTCGCGTGAGTCAGCTAGTGATTTATGTAATGTGAATTAAAACCTCTAGCATTGCTTAGTAGGGTTTTAAAGTATCACTCGTCGCGGTAAAGTTTTCATCTTGTCGTTTTTAACTGTATATTTTCTCTTTGGATATTTTCTCGTAGTATACCTACTATCACTTTGATTATATAAACATAAATTATGATATCACATTTATTACGGCCTCGGTGGTCTAGCGGTTTAGCACACCGCTGTACTTCCGATGGTCGCGGGTTCGATTCCTGGCATGGTGTAAATGGTATGGTGTATCGGTCTGGATGTTTTCTATGTGTATTACGTATGTATTTACAAAAATAACCATTTATATCAGTTGTCTAGTACCTATAACACAAGCTCTGCTTATCGTCGGACTAGATGGCGCTGTGTTATTTGTACAGGGTTATTATTTGTCCATATACGTGAAGCAAAAATTTTGTACCCATTTTATGAAAATTGTGTGTTGTAAAAATATGCGTAAAAACACATTGAATCAACAAAAAAACCATTACACACACACACGACTACGAGAATATACTCTTTTGTTTATTGTTAACTAGCTACTCGCCCCAATTTCTCCCGGATATGTATTATACATATAAACCTTC